AGTTCAGTAAACATTATTTTAATATTTAGTGGGCAGATTTTAAATTTTAACGTCTAAATCGACAATAATATTATTATTATTATTATTATTATTGTTATTATTATTGGTTACCCATAGGTATCCACGATATTTTATTTTTTGAAAAATTTGTTAATATTGATAAAATACTCACAATATTATTATTTCACTCCGCGGTTCCTAATGAATTTTCTTGATAAATGCTCAAAAATTAAGGTATTTAAATATCGAAAATTCTCTTAAAATTCCAGAGAATACCTATACGAAAAATATCGCTAAATTCCGTGAAGTCGTATGTATAAGCATAGATTGGTATTCGATATTTCAAAAAGTTGCTTATACAGTTTTTGGCGAATTAACGGGGTTCGGGGGGGGGGTAAAAATGTACCATATTGACGATTTCGTCAACCAGATTTTAGTTACTAAAGCAAATGCTCAGTTAGTTTTTAATACAGTATCTTAACAGAATTTCTCCCAGTATAGTACTTTATTTAAAACATTTTTCCACACGTTTAGCAGTCGCTACTATACCCATTTTTTACTGTTTAATTTGTGTCGATTATCTCGGTTATCGCCTAGGCAACAAGGGAAAAAATAAGTCTATTATACTTATGGTGATCAGATCTAAAAATCTAAAAAAAAAATGCATTTTAAAATTTAGGTTCTCCATTGTAAAAAAAAACCCTTAGTTGAAAGAATTGGCCAATGTGTATTGTGTATACTATTCTACCCATTTTGCCCATAGCATATCTCCATCTATATACATATTTTTTATTCGATTACTCTATTATTATTTTTTTCTATTATCAACTATAAAAACGAATTATTTGAAATTATAATGTCAACTCTTTGACTTTATTAATATATATTTCCTATATATTTATATTTATTTATAATTTTCAAAAAAAGGGTACAATTTCATGTACTTAACACTATTGTTAAGAACAAAGGACATTGCAACAAAAAAGAGTACTGTCCTGCGAAATATAATACGTCTGGTCACCATAAATATACTACAATATTACTCCGCTGAGAATCGTTTTTTGTTTGCAATAATTTATCGTTGCATATACAGTATAATATTTACTAAACTAAGTTTATAATATATCCCATACCTTCCCAACTAACCACCTGCAACAATGTCCTACCCAAGAGCAATACCGGCTTTTAGAAAATGCATAACCCTCCTCCCCTCTGTAATAAATCCCGGTCACTTCCACTGACTCGTGTTGCTATATTTCAACGAAACGCATTCGATTAAATTATTTACTTATATGTCATGCGCAATAAATATTATAGACGTACACGTATTACACAGTTGTAGATTAAAATCCGCTGTAAATATATAAAAGAACAATTTATACACGTTGATATAACGGCAATTATTATTTATTTCGAACTATTCGCTTCGAGTATAAGCCGTCCGGGATTAGACTTTTCCCTAATAATAATTTTTTATATTATTCGATTCTATCCGATACAGACAGAAATCGGTGGAAATTTCACGATCTCGATTTATTAATGTCGTCGGAAATAATCGTGGGCCAAAAGTCATGTTCGCTGGGAATGTCGCTATAATATAATTACATTATTCAGAAATCGTACATTTTCTCGTGCGCGTCGAAAATACATTGGATAGGACATTTTAGAAAACTTTTCGAAGTCGGTAGACATATTTTGACAGAAAAAAAAATAATATTCAATTTAATTATTAAATATTAGGTACTATTTTTTACTATTGTACTATTGTCATCGTCAGAAAATGTCAAGCTTAACGCCGTAATTATCATATTGTATGCATCGACAATTTTCGTAATTATATTCGAGCACTAGTGTTGTAGATCTCTGGTAAAATTGTATTGTTATTATTATTATTATTATTATTATTTTAAAACAATTGTATTTTAGATTCCTGCAGGCGCGGATCCAGAAGGTGTCTAATTGGTACTCGAGATTTGATGAAGTCAAATATAATATTCATAATAATAATTTATTAATTAATTATCAGTGCTTTTTTTTCCCAAGTAGTTTTCATAATTATTGAGAAAAATCAGAAAAAGATGAAAAATAAAAACTGATCAATTTACATTAGGATTGCTTCATTTTAAATGTTCACGGCTGATGTTTTCTACCAAAAATATTGCTCCAATAGAAAAACAAGTGACTTTTTTTTGTTGCATTTTTAATCTAGTTGGTGACCGAAATAGTCGTTTTTTGATAATTTACTTTTATCTTAATTATTAATTTACTTTTTGTAACATAACATATTTCGGTTCGATTTTATGTGTTGCTTTGCCCGTGCACAGTTGTATTGGAAACAAATAGGTTTTAAGTATTGTCATTAATATGATACATCCAGGACACGGCGTACATTTGCCCAGTCCGATACCCTTCATCGTTATGGTTACAATAATACACTGTTGTTTATTATTATTGTTGATACAAATAAATGTGTATATATATATTGTAGATAACATTGAATTAGTGCAATTTATTATGACGCATTGTGATATTCGCTAATTTTCAGCGAGGGGCACCGATAGGTACGTTTCGGGTGTGTTTTGTTTTGTTTTTAATTTTCATTTTATAGTTGCTAAAAACGGGCACAACTTTGCGGGACAGCTAGTGGGTATTTAGGTAATATAGTGTTATATAATATCTCCTTGTCGACCGAATCAACAACCGTAACTATGTACAAGTAACTAGGACACAACGGAGACATAATATTATAATATGAGGTGTTCCTAAGACCTAAAACGAAAAAAAACTCAACGTTTACAGATAACTCGTGTGGAAATGCATTCATTGTCGACATTTTTATAATAAAATCTCAAAATAAAACACAATACATTACAATACATAGTGCAACGGACCGTGAAGAAAACGTACCTCTGTACACTTATATTAATATTTTATTGAAAAGCTTTTCTCTTGTAAAAGATTCTAAGCGGCACGACCGAATATTGTACGTCGACATCTATTCGATTTTGCGCGATGATTTGCGATTTTATTTTTTTTGCCTTTCGTCTACCCTCGTCGTAAAAGTCGGCAAAAACGCTCGAAAAGTCGAAATACGTGTTATATTGTAATATATTATTCATTCGATAAAAGAACCGTGGACAATGTTATACGTATTATGTAAATTGCTGTACGGATGCCGGGTAGGTACCGTAGTAACATATACACCGAAAAGGACCGGAGTGGATATCGTTCTGACAGTTTTATTCTAAAATGTTCAACGTCCTGGAAACGGCAAAAAAAAATAGCGACTTGTAACGTCGTCGTCAATGATATTTTAATGGTACGCTCAACATTACCGCCGTACGGTGTAGAAAATCGAATATGATCGCGATTTAATATTTCGGTTTGAAATTTTAAGAAAATAAAAACCTAGCCGCCGTTATTTCGATTTGCGGCCCAATGGACAGAAATACTGAGCTGTTATGTCCGTGATTTATTTTTTACAATACGACGCCGACGACTGTTTTGAAGTCAAAAGAGCCCGCCATCTCTTAGATCTCTTTGTATTTCACAGAATACGAGCACACAAAAAAAAAAATAGTAATGCTTGTTCTTTATCATAATATTGTACAGGTACCATTAAATGTTCCTAGTCTAATTAGTTGTCGGTCTTTTATATTATATAAATATTTAAAAAAAAAACAAATGTTATACGATAATATGATGGGAAAAATTTCCGAATTTCCGATCGAGAAACGGAAAACCGTAATATTATTATCGCTCTTCTAGGCAAATTGTCAGAAAAAAAATATACGTTTTTGAACGGAACAATAAAAAAAAAATGGCCACGCTAAACATTTGACAATATTTGCACAGTGCCGATCGACACGAATATACGAAAACGTGACGTTGATCCCAAAACCCTATTATATTAACAATTAAAATTGTTACTATTTACTACATATTTTTTATCATATTATTTCGTGTAAACGCAACGGTAATTATCATTCCAACATGATACCGTATAGGTACCGGCTACAAAGATAATAACAATATTGTCGTCAAGTATGATTACTGCAAACAAAAAAATTATACACGATTTTTATAATATTTTCAACGCGATAACACAGTATTTAATAATAACGCGCCTTTGGTTTGGAGGTCACGGAATTCATATAATTTAACAGTCTGCGTTGGTATTATTTATTGTTCTGTACAACATTGCGGACATTACGAAATGGCGCGCGGCCGCGGCGGTGGCGTCGCTATATGATAACGTATGCTGGCGGTTTAGTCGGCTGCCCATAAACATAATACAGTATCCGACGCTCTTATCAATTTTCAAGTTTTGATGTTATTCTGAACGAAATTAAATTACGCAGATTTTTTTGAATATCATACTGAATTACGATAAATATAATCAATAAGGTTCGATAATAATTATTACGGTTAATTCAATATACCGTTGTGAAAGAAAAATAATATACGATTTTGTTAATTCGTATCGCTGGCTGTGGAATAAAATAATATGGTTAGTAGGATAGTGTGCCGTACGCGGTGGTGGCGGGAACCGATCAAACGTAAGCACCGTGAGGTTGGATGCACTGAACCGGCCGGTAGAGTGACGCCGTCGAGCGCGCGTTCTCCGCGTCGGCGACGGCGTCGTCCAAACGATAATAATATTAAATAATACCGCGTTTTAGTGCGTGCGCAAGGGGACGCGTGCGTGCGTGCGGCGAATAGGAGAGGGTCCGCGTGAAGAGCGTGCGTGCGTGCGAGCATGGCGATGCCGGTGTAAGAGGGTGCCGCGATCGTGCGGGTGCGTGTCCAAACCGCGTCGGTTGGCGCGGGCAGCCGTACATAACGTTCGTGCGCGCGCGCACCGGCCCCCCGCTTCCACCCCGGGCACCGTAAGAGTAGCAAAACCCGGACGACCGCCGCGCCGTGAGCGGTGTGCGTGCGCGCGCCCGTGTGCGTGTTGGCGTGCACTGTGTGTTGTGTGTGTGTGTGTGTGTGTGTTTCTACTAGTGAGTGCGCGTCCGTCGTTTTACAATATCTCTACGTTCCTCGTTCGGTGTGTATTATTATTGTTATTTTTTTTTCTCCATATCCACCCTCCTCTTGCCCGCGCGCAGTCTTTGCGTTCCCGTCGTGTTGATCCCGTATCCGTGCGACGTTCGTGTATTCCGAATTCTCGTCTCGACCGTAGCGCACTTAACACGCTGCTAACGCCGCAGTCGTCACGACGTCACAGTAACGTTTTTGTCTCCCGTGATTACCGGAGTCATCCGCGAGCGGTTTCATCGCGATTTTCTCGATTATCCGTTGTATTTACCGGCCGGCCAGACATCTTCCACAGACCGCCGTCTAACACATTTCCATCGCTGTGTTTTTATTTTTCTTTGCTGCCCGTGTATTGCACCGGGCACCCGTCGCACACAGCAGCTACCGCAAGCCACCGGTCGACAGCCGCTCATTGTCCACTGCGTTTGTCGTCGTCCAATTTTTATATTGCGTAAGTATATCGCCGGTAACGTATACATTTTTTTAACCGTTGGTAATTACATTAATCGCAGGAGTTTTTTTTTACCGGTTTTTTCAACAATTTGGTTGTCAGCTCCCCCCCCCCTTCCCTCTCACAATACCCCCAATGCGCCGTTTTTTCTTTTGTCCGTTACGCGGTCCCGTCCTGTGGCGGGACGATCGCGTACGCGCGCGTGTGTGTGTGTGTATGTGTGAATGTGTGTTTGTGCGGTCTTTGGCGGGAGGGAGGGGGCAGGGTGACGCGCGTTCGTCGCCGCCACCAAACGGCCAAACGGTCACAGTTTTCGACTCGCCGCTGCCGTTGTCTTGTAACAAGAATTATTACGATTTTCCATTACGCCGCCGACTCGTAGGTACCTATATTAGTTTTCATTTTGACGTCCGCGAACAGTGCCGCCAAAAGGTTACTTATTGGCCAGCAGGTGGTGTCCTCTGTTTGAGAGGGCTCCCGCGTTCTATACAGGTGGTTGATCGGGTCGATTATTAATTTTTTTTTTTCGATCTCGCGGAATTTCGTACTGTCCCTTTGTGACCAGACCGTGACAACAATCTTTAGGAAAACGTTACTACTAAAGTAGGTACATTGTTTTTATAATCTGATGGTTTATCGACTGTGTCATCATTAATGAAAATTGATTTTCTTATTGAAATCAATAATATTGTGCTTACAATATATAGTTTTATTTAATTATTCCTTAGTAATGTTAAGTTACATTTTGGTTCATCGTCTTGTCCAGTTGTCTGTATACCTATTTCGAGTATTCTTCTAGTATCTGATGTTGACATTGTTGCATTGTTATATTTTTTTAATTTCCAATCTAATAAATCTCAAGGTTTCCTACTGTTACTTTGTAAATATAAAGTTAGTTTATATATCTATTTTTTAAGTAAAAAGTCGATACCTATTCATTTCTGAAAATGTATTTAGTGTATGCCAGAAATGAAATACCTACCTTATACTTACAATTTATTGTCTTCAATATCTTTTAGTAATAAAATAATTAGTAACTAATACATCCATATGTTTAACACCTTAAAAACTGATCGTTAGTATTGGCACTGTTATTAACCTAATAGATACTAATTTTATGGTTTATGTAGGTAATTTTTTGTTATAAACAAAACGATTAGTTTTAGAATCTTTTAGAATTCACAATTCTGCTTACAGTGAAAAACACAGATGATTGCTAAGTTTAATTTATTGCTTATATTAGTGTACGTGTGCACAGTATTGCTATAATTCATACCTATTGAAAACTATAAATGTGCAACTTTATTTAAAGTTTAAGATAAGTATTATCACAATAAATTAAGTTTTTTACACATAGACTGCTGAATAGTTTATTTAACGGTCATACTAGTCCGTTCCACGAGAGAAAGGTACTGCACATGTTGAATGAACGGTGAACTCTCGTTGCACCATTAAATTTCCTCTACATAACTGCCGAGGTTTATGACGACCAGTTATACAACGTGTTAAAATTATTTACTATTACCGATACATTTTATTGTAATTGGTCATGCTCAATCAATGTTAACTATATATGATATAAATTAAATTTTAAAAAATAAATTATACACGTGAAACGTCCGAATAAAAATGACAATATTAACGTTCTGTAAATCACGTATAAGCAAACGACAATAATATCAACGCATCGCAAAGGTTTGATGTAGTAGGGCATGTGCAGTCGATACTGTTCTCGTGAAACGGGCTATAGAAACTACCTATACTAATTTTACTTGTTAAATTTAATTAATATTGCAATGGGTATATATTGTTCTGGTCATGCAAACGTTGTTAGATTTGTCACTAGTTACCCACTGAAAAATGTTTATTTTTTACAATTATAAATTAGGTATCATCTGGTGAAATTTAGTAAAATGTTTGAAAGAAATAGTAAAAAAGTCTCCAATGTAGTGATAGTAGGAAGGTATTCAACATTTTAAAATATGATTATTAGTCTGTGCTTTCTCGGTCTTACTAATGCAAAATACTATTTTTTAGAAAAAGCTACATTCAGCTTTCAAAAAGAAACTCTTCCGATTTTATTTATGATACCTACCTATAAATTAAGTCGACACTGAAATATATACTATATCAGTGGTCTTCAACCGGTAGGTCGCGACCCATTTTTGGGCCCCAATAAATTTTCTTTTTAAAATAAAAATTAAGTTTATATAATTATATAAAGTATACAAATAATTTTTTAATTATTAAACTTAGAAAATTAATAAATGAAAATACAGTTTGGAAATGACTGTAATATATTATGTATAAACAATATATAATTTATATTCAAAAATATAATAGTACAATGGATTTCAAATCACAGTATATGTTTCATATACTGGTATGATTCTACGTAGTATAACATAAAATATAATTTACGAGTAAACCGGGCTAGTAATAAAATAAATGTATATATTATTATTGTTAAAGAGTCCCATAATCTACGAACATTGTCGCTGTGTTTAAATGAATAAATGTTAGTCTCGTTATTATTCTAGTCATATTTATGTATTCGTTAAAAAGTTTTTTTTATTTTTATTTATTCGGTTATAATAGTACTACTACAAAGTATTAAGTAATTTTAGATTTTTTTTTTCTTTATGTATACCTTATGTGGGTCACGAATAATTTACGCCTAAAAAAATGGGTCGTGAGTCCAAAAAGGTTGAAGAACACCGTGCTATATTATGGACCTAACAAAAAATAAGCACTATATATTACCTGTGTCATAAAAACGTGAAAATAACAAAAATTGTTTTTTACTATATAAATACATACCACCAATAAAGTCATAAATGTATACTATTTGATGGGTCAATACACCAGGCTACTTTAAAATAGATTATAACATGAATCGAAAATGTTGGCATTTTTCTTATGAATTGATATAAATGACAGATTTTTTCTACTAATTATAATAAATACTAAATAAATCATTATATCAGCAGTAAATCTTGATATATAAAATAACATATTTGAAGTTCCTGGTGCATAAAACAAATTTAAAGTTCACTTTCCTATTTTTATCTGTATCCTATAATAATTAGCAAGTGCTATAAAATCCGAGACCCTTTAATTGTGTTATGTTGTTCTTGAGTTAGACTAAGCCAGTATATGCGGGTGTAAGTAACATCATCTTAATACAAGTACCCATATTTAATATGAGATCTTAGGTAGGTAGTATATTTTTAATTAAAGACTGTTAGACTAAAATATATAATCCGTGCTAACGGAAAACACATATGGCTCGTGCATGTTATATGTATGATGTACGAGAATGGGCTGAGTTTTGGGTGGTATCTGTGTTCACTTGTTGTGCAGGGTCATTCGCAAATAAATATTTTGTATTAAATCAAATAATACTATTTTTTATTTTGCATATTTTATGGTTTTGTATTTTAAATGCATATTTTATTATTTTAAGAATATAAATGCATATTTCAGTACATTTTCAAATTTTTTTTAAAAAATAATAACAAAATATAAAGCATACAGTCTGAATAAATTAAAAACCCTAAAGCACCACACTGTAATGCTTCAATTGTAAAATTGTAAATTAATATGTATCTAATATTAAAAAAATAATAAATGAAAAACTACTTTTAAAAATTAAATACTTAAGATGATGAAATACATTTTTTATACACAAATGCGTACCTATTATAGTTAAGTGCATAAACATCCAAACTCTAGTTATAACAAACTACCTTGAATAGTTTGTTATAAAAGATATACAAAAATTAACACAATTATATGAATTCAAATTATAAATCAATAAAATTACTTAATTAATTGTTCTTATTGGAGTTTTTTTTTTACATTTGTTGACTTATAAAAACTAGTTCTTCATTGTAACAATACATTATAGGTCCAAGTAAAATACATAAATTACTTATTCAAAAAACAATTAGCAAAAAATATTTGAATAAGTTGAGTTCGACATTTATTTGAACAACTTAATAAATATTTACATGTATTATATTTTCTTAATAAATACATTTCACAAGTGAACTTTGAGTTGGTACTTATTTAAGTTTTTGTAGGTTGAAAGGTATGATAATCAAAAATTTGGTTTATAAGAACAATATCGTTTAATATAAGATATCTACTTTTATTTGTGTAATTAATAGAAGTTTTTTAAAAAAATTTCTAGGCACTTAAAATGGAACAAGATAATGGAAGAAGGAGGAGTTCACGCTTGGCTGCAAAAGGAGTGACCACGCCATCAAGAACTGAGTCTGCATCAAAAAAATCTGCCAAGAGTGTAGAAAAGCCTACGCCTAATAAAAGAGCAAAGCGCAAGATTGCAGAAGTTGCACTTCCCGATGCTAAGAAGACCAAAACCGCTGAAGAAAAATCTCCTGGTGAGATTAATGAAAACAACGTTGAGAAAACTAATGCCACACCAATGGATGTAGAAGTAAAAGAATCTTTGTCATCATCTGAAGTAGAGAAAAATGAGGACATTGAAACTATGCTCATAGAGATTAAACAACCAGAAATTGTTGAGAACAATTTGATAGATGTTGATATTGAGAAAAAAGAAGAGGTTGCTGATACTATCGCAGTATCTGAAGAAGCAGTATCTGAAGAAACAGTGTCTGAAAAACCAGTGTCTGAAAAAACAGTATCTGAAACTGCTGATGAGCCTGTTAAAAAGGACATTACTGAACCACTAAATAATGATGTATCTCAGGATACAGAGCCTAAGCCAGATCCAGTGATAGTGGTTGAAAATAGCAAGGGTAATGATAATAAAGAAGAGGAAGTCGCTGAAGAACAGTTAAACAATGATGTTGATGCAGTTAAAGATGTAAATGGTGATGTCAATGAAGTTGAATCCACTAATGGCAATGAATTGGAGGCAGTCGAACAAAATAATGGTGATATTGAGACAGATTTAAAAGCAGCTGTTACTGCAACAATTCCTGCTGCCAACACTATATTAAGCAACAATGATGTGAGTGAGCTGGAAAATGTTGCTGAAACTGTGAATGTCACCCCTGATGATAAAGCGCCAAATGTGGACCAGTCAACCACAGTTGTGTCCTAATTTTATTGCCATTATTCGTAAGTATAAAAAATAAAAAAGTATTCTACTAATATTATTTTGTGCATAATTAAATATGTAGTTTACAATAGTTTATTATAGTAGGTACTTTATTTTAAAATTATAATGGGTAATACTAATGAAGTAATAAACATTGCATTTACCTATTTAATTCGATAACTGCATTGTTTTATGAACTAGGTTTAGATAATAATATCTTAAGTTTTGCAAAATGTGTACTAATTATTAGTATAAATAATAAATTACTTATATTTTATTAATACTGTTAGTTGCTCAAATAGTAAATTTTAAACACGAGTTTTTTTTTTTACTGGTTATAGGGATTTATTGGTCAACAGTTTCCTTTGATCAGTAAAAAATGTAATATGTTTCATTTATAGACATAAAATAATTAACAAGAAAGACAAATTTATTTGATCTTAACTAAATATGGGGTTCCTCTTAATAATTGTAATTGGTATATACCTACATTTCCTTAGTTTTTATATTATATTTGTCTTTCTTTTACACAAGTTTTTACACTAATTTTGTAATGTTTGTTTACAGGTTTAATATTAATGAAGAACATTTAGACTTATATTGACTTCTACTTGGTGTAACCATGCTCAGTAGTTACAATTTTTTTCTTATACTGTTTCTTTACACTATTTACGATTTACAATATATTTTTGATTGATATTGTAGTAAATATTTGGAAATTTATGTTTAGTTTTTTTTTTTTTTTTTTTTTTGCCCAGTAAAAATTTTTATTTTTTTTTATGTAGAATTTATACACAATAATATATGTTACACACAAAAAACTTACAATTTATTAATAGTATTAAAATTAAAAATTGTATATTTTATAACTTAAAAAAAAAAAAAAAAAAAAAATATTAATGTTGGTATATATTTGTGTACTATTTGTCAATGTATTTTTTGTTCAATTTATAATTTTTATTTTTATGAGACTAAACTGTATTTTTATTGTCCACTTAATGGCATTTCCAATAAATCCATAACTGCTGGCAGTTATTTAAATTTATCAAAACAAAATGGTTAGTAGTTCATTGAAAATATTTGATAAACTACTAGCATCAATTATATTGCTAATTATACTTTTACAAAAAGGAATTTTTTTTTAAAAAAACATTAAAATGTATCCCTGATTTTAATTCTATGAGCAATCATTTTGTAATTTATCAACAATGCATGTAAATATATGGAATAATATTCTTTTATTATAGTAAGCAACGTTTAAACATTTTTCTAGAGTAATATTTGTGTATTGATAAAGTCTCTTGTAGACCTATAACTTTTTTTTTAATTAAATAAATCATGGTTTTTTTTTTTTTTTTGTACAAACTGATGTTTATTAATTAATATATAATGAATTTATTTCTACTCTTGTTTACAATATTATTTATTCATCATTTTTGTTGTCTTAAATGTTATATGTTTATTACATTATTTTAAAATCTATATTATATTATTCTCGAACAATCGGCAATAAAAAAAAAATACATTAAAAGGAATACAAAATGAATTTGGATGTTCTTCTAATTTGACTAAATAAAATTACTTACATCTTGACATCTTAGGGTTAACTTTTTAATAATAGTTTTTCTTATTATTTCTTTAATTATTATCCTATATTTGATAAAAAAAAAAAAAAAAAAAAGAACAATAATTTTCAATTACTTACTTAAGAGAACAAACCCTTAAATATCTTTGTACTTTTGTATGAACACTTTGTATTATGTTAGACATAAAAATCTAACATAATACAAATAGTTAACACTATAAGATATTTACCGATGTTATTAATTTCAATAAATTAGGTTTATCATTTAACAAAATGATTGATCTTTGTCAAATTCAACCTTTATCACTCTGAACAGTAAATTTTGTCAAGATGTAAATAAAATATCAATTCAACCAATATTATCTAACAATTTTAGTTAAATGTAAAATTAAACCGAATTAATTTTTTATGAAGATATGTTCGGTTTAAAGTATGTTTATCATAATATTGATTTTAAATTACAATAATGAACTATGAACATTATAATATATTTGTGAAATCACAATATTCTGGCTTATTGACAGTTTGTGATCATTTAAAACTTTTATATTGTATTGTTATGGTGATCAACAGAAATACATATAGGTACTACATTTTGAAATTGTAATAAATGTTTTATGTGAAATTTTTTCATTTAAGTGTGTATTTAAAAAAAAAGAAAAAAAAAAAAAAAAAAACTATTTTTCATTAAATTTTACTTATGTTTGATATTATACGATTTAATTTGAATAAAAATATCAATTGAATGTGTTGTTGAATAATTAAGTTAGACTCATAATGTGTTTAACGGATTACCGCCTCTATTTATTATTTAATATTGAACTATTTACAGAACAAAATTATTTTATAAGTATATATAACTGAATCAAAAATTGTAAAATATTATTGTTGAAAATATAAAACTGATTCTAAGGGCAAAATATATTTTTTTGGTAGTATTGTTTCTATTCAATTTTTATTTCTCTAAATGTACATTAAATTATACCTGTAATATAGAATTGAAAATAAGTGTGTACATAAAACAGTCTTCCATACAAATTTTGTAAAGTATTTCTAAAACTAATAAAATAGTTTTCATTTCAAAACAAGGGCGGAAGGCTTACTTCGAAATTACAACCACTACAAATCCTCGATTATTATGTGCCTGCGTAATTAAATGAATATTGATTTTTAGTTTTAAGTTTCCTAAATGGTTAAATGCAACATACTATTTTTAATTGTTGATTACTGGATAATAATGACACTGGGCTAGGTATCTACATTTGACAATGCTACATTTATAAAATGTATATGTTATAATAGATGTCTAATAAGTTAGTTTTTGTTAATTACTGTGTATTTGTTTTTGTGTCATAAACTCACAAAAATCTATATTTTTTACTGGTATGGACAAAATTCATTATCATAGTAATTTGTCATTATTATATACTTAAATTAAAATTGAGCGTGTTAACAAAACAAAAATAATAATTGATTTATGGAATAAATTGCACTTACATATTATATTATTAAATAAATCAATTGTTGTTTCTAATTAAAATTAGGTACATTAAAGTAAAAAAAATACGTGCGCACATATTGCAGTAGATAGGTATTCGATTGTTGTCTGTTTTTTTTTATTTTTTAAATATAACTATATTATCCTATAGTAATTATTCCATACAATAATTAACAATATACCTAATGTTTTCAAAACCATTAAGTGTACACAATATATTATACGTAGGTACCTACCTATTATATTTGGGGTCCCGGACTAATAAGCAAAAGAAACGCTATTTAACTTTTTCAACATAATTATCATATTTTTCTAATACAAAATGGATAGAGGAAAATTCGACTCCAGTGACGGAGCTCTACTGTCCATGGATGTTGTTTTATTTTTTTTTTGTTATCATCAAATTATTCGCATATTACGCACGCAACAATAATAGTTGTTCAAGAAAATAGTGTGTTTTCACAATAATATACGCAACAGAATTTTACCCCCAATAACGTTTCCGGTTTTAATAATAACTTTAATAAGTAAACCTATAATAGAAGTAAACGTTGGTCATATAATCCGGGCCTTACTTACGTTTAAATTGGTGAATAATTATATTTTGGTAAGTATCTACATGTACTAGTCCGGAATATATTATATCAATGGGTAGGTACTTGTGATTTTTATGATCTTGAAATCCGAAAGAAGAATAGAAAACGATAAAATAAGAGATTTTTTTTTTTTTTTTTTTTTTTTATTAGACACCTAATTCCGATAAAAAAAAAAAAACCACAAGATAATCAGCAATTATTTTTGTAGCAATTGGTTCTTATCGGTACGTTGGATATGTCATCATTTTTTAATTTTCCTCGTAGTTTTCTTGATAATTAGGGAAAGAACGGAAAAGTGTACGAAATAACGATTTTTTTTTTTTCGGGGATCGAGGGACAGTGGCGTAACTGGGTTATGATTTTCGGTGTTGCAAAATCGTTCATGCGATCAGGGATATTTAAACGTTCATACCCACTCATGAGGGGAGGGTTCAACTTCTTTTTTAAAAATTTTTCTCATCCGCTATAATTGCGCAACTGAACAGATTATTTAGTATTTTGTTTTTTTTTTGTTTTGGTTTTGTATCTAATAATAGGTACCTACCCAATAAAATACATAGTAGGTATGATGTACAAACTTACCAGAGTGAAAGTTTGAGGTTTTGAAAAAGTGATGGAGAGCTCTCATCTTTGTATTACTAAATTATGAATTCATATTGTTTACAAAACATTCGTACTTTTTTATTTTAAACATTAAACATAACGAGCACATCAGCGCAATATTTACCGTGGTTCTATACAGTATTAAACATTGAGCATTTAGGCCGTTACTCTAACCACGCTACAACCATACAATCAAGACCTTGCTTACGGCTATACCACGTGTTTAACCACACGAATATAGATAATTTATTATCAATGTCTGTGGCTGCAATCCACAGATATCTATAATATAGAAATCTGCTGCAATCGTCGTGTAACTTTATCAGTTGACAGTTATCAGAAAATCATAGCCGCGCTTGGTACGTAAATTTATCATTGTTAGTACATGGGAACAATCGAGTGATTTCAACAATTGAGATACGAATAATCGAGAGATTCACTCGAAAAAATCTCTCGATCAATTTGGTATTTCATTACACTCGGTTTCTCGATACTCTAGAGGCTTGACAATCAGCTCTTCAATTAATTAATTGAATTTAATTATTATTACGTATTAAATATTTTAGCAAAGAAATACAATAACGTGTACGACAACTAACATTATTAATTTTCATTCAATTGTTTTGTTTTATATTAAGACATCAAACGATTTAATTTCGTAAGAATCACTCGCTGATCAATAAATTTATCACTCAACTTCAATTGATCTCGATACCGGGATAATCATTCGGGTAATTTCATTCGATTGTTCCAATCACTATAATTCATCGTATTGAAAATTAGATTCAGATAACCGCGTCATTATTTTCACAATATATTGCGCAACTTACCAACTTGAATATTCGAAAAGGTGTTGTTGGTCCGCAATATCAGAGAATACGTGTTCGCGTTGCAAGGCTCGCCGCGTCGTCCCGAGCACGCCACTGGCGACGGGGACGCATCACGAATGATTACGAAAAAACGATTTGATCGCCACTGCGCTTAACCTAACCTAATATTATCCGGGGTATATCGTTGCCTATTCGACTGTCGATAATCCATTCACGGCGGCGACATTACGCGGTGTCGCATGGAGATCGCGCACAAAAACGACTGCCGTTATTAATATTATTAAGTCGGTACCTTTGGTACAATAATACGCAAGTATGGGTATGGATATCTGCTATTGCGTTATCATCACGTTGGCGGAAAACATCGCTGCCGTTATTCGGTATAGTTTTAGAGTCGGACAGGAGAGAGGAACGTATCGGTTCATGACCATTGATTATGAATACCGTAATAGTATAGTGTTTATGATAAATATTTTACATAGATGTTTCATTTTTTCTATTTTTTTTTTTTTTTTTTTTTATGTGAACACTTTCTACCAGTAGAAAGCATACTCCGATGATACGATATGATTCAGACCTCTTTCCGAGAGGAAATTTCCTCGGGGTGGTACGCAAGAGAGGCGATTTATCGATTATCCCAGGAGTTTTCTCGACAAATGTGACAAACGGGAAAATGTACGGAACGTATGTATTAGTTAAAAGAAAATATTACGGCCCTTTTTTTTTCCTGTGAACGAATTTTCTACCAGCAATTTTGCTCCGATTAACAAAAACAGCGCTGGAAATCTGACTGTGAAGGCACTTTACGGAGGTAATTTTTCGATTTTCCCGAAAGTTTCCCAGTGAAAATGTGAAAAACATGGGAAAATCGGTCGGGCAATGTTAAACAATTTTTAATAAAGACAATTTATAATGCCTGTTCAATTATTTTACCGTAGTATGACATATATATTGCTGACATAGTATCAACTGAAACTCCGTTCAGAATCGTTTTTTTTTGTTGGCAACGGTTAATCGTTGCGTACAGATATACGTTAAATTTCCTCTATACAACTTTTCGCTTACAACAGCGGCCCACCCACGGGCCGAAGGATGTCCGTCTCTATTTTTTTTTTTTTTTCGATTTTCTTTTTTTATTACCTATCGAAACCTTATACAAAGCGAATGCAAAGCCCGAAGTCGTGGTGGTTACCGACAAACGTATTTTTTTTCTGCCCTTTTCTTTTCTTTTCTTTTTTATTGTGAAACAGGTTTAAAATGTCACTCCGGGCACACAATGCGTATTACCAGTTTAATAACAAAATGCAATGCATTAGATTTCGAAAGAAAAATAACCGAACGAATAAGCGAATTTAAATCGGTACACCGTTACCGAACGATAATGCGTCCGACCGTATAAAGGCGAATCAATCGAAAAAGGTACACATTCCGTTGTATACATCGTATGCTGTAATCCCGACATCCCGTGTACGGGATATTATCCCTTTGTACGATTTCCGGCACGTCTCCGCGTCGTTTTATATACACATAATGGACCGTAATAAACACATAATACCGTGTACAAATGCAGTGGAATAATGTTCGGACGCTAGCGAAATGTCAAACGGTTTTTGGCCGGCGGATAGGCACAACAGTATAATATATTTAATCCGTCTCGTTTTTTTACTCTGCTCATTTCACGTTATCCCCACGGACGTGTGGCCGGTCGCATTGAAATACGCCGAAAATCGAATGGAGAAAAAAACGTAAACCGTTGACGATTTTTTTTTTCCACATTTCCAATGATACAGTATTACGTTTTTTTACATTCACCCCCGACATATCACAGTGGACAACCTGACTGATTTAAAAATATTTTTCCCGAATTATTGAAATCTGAACATTAATAATAATACAACAACCCGGTATGAACCTACGTAATTTTGTCTGGCTTTTATCGGCTTTAATCGGTTGAAACGTATACGCGTATGAGCCCTCGCCACTCGCTTTAACGATCGCGGATTTATCCGTCGGGCAGTAATAAATCGTGCGGGGTACTAACGTTGTACCATTCGAAAACTTTGCGTATCCAAAAACCGGTGTCCGCGTATCACGTATTTTCCACTGAAAAAAAAAAAAAATCCACGATGGTTAAAAACTTTCGGGATTTTTAACTGTATACTGGCAGCAAACGTGATCAACATGTAATTTCAACCGACCGTTTAGTTTTTTACCACATGCTAGATCGCCGTAGGTAAATAAATTGTACGCACTACGTTATTAGGAATGTTTTTTCCAATGCAGGTACTTAATATTCACAGGTAAGTACACGATTCGAGATAACGGACTTGTTTCGATTGCAATGAACGGATGTTATAGCGATCGTATTATATCGTGGTACAGGTAATGCAAAAACACCGTGATCAGTAA